GAAAACTCCCGTGGCATTTAACCTCAGAGTTGGGAGGCATCTCTTATTAGCAAGGGAAAGTTGTGAGAAGGAGGGCTGAGGTAGATCCCACTGGAGAGAGGAGGCCAGGTCACCTCAGTTGGGGGGGGGGGGTCCCAGCCAGGTGCTTGAAGAGACAGAAAACCATTCGGAACTGCCCGAGCAGAAAATGGAATGAGGCAAGCATTAAATATAGAGTGAGATTGCTCAGCAGTGGTAAGGGCCTCATTGAGGTCATGCCCCAGGAATTTATAGTCAATTTCATGCCTTTCTCTAGTAAAATCAACATGCCCAGGAGTAGAAATGGAAGAACTCAAGGCCAATGGTTGGCCAGAGTCGAGAATTTTCAGGTTGGGAATGATGGAAGGACCAAGGGACAAGGGCTTCTAGTGACCAGTGAATAAGAAGAGGAAAAAATAAGAACTGTTATTGTTGTTGTTCAGTCACGTCCGACTCTTTGTGACCCATTTGGGGTTTTCTTGGCAAAGATCCTGGAGTGGTTTGCCATTTCCCTCTACAGCTCATTTGACAGATGAGGAAACTGAGGCAAACAGAATTTAGTGACTTGCCCAAGGTCACACAGCTAGTAAGTGTCTGAGGCTGGATTTGAACTCATGAAGATAAGTCTTCCTGATTCCAAGCTCTATCCACTGCAGCGCCACCTAGCTGCCCCACATAAATTCATTTTACAGAAGAGGAAACTGAGACAGGCAACGGTTAAATGATTTGTCCAGGGTCACAGAGACAGTAAGTATCTAAGGTCACATTCAAACTCATCAGGTCTTTCTGACTCTGTGCCCATCACTGTATCCACTACGTAGAACACTATCCTTTGCATGTCCTCCATGTTCAGATCCACCAAAGGCTGAAAGATACTGTAGCCTCCTCCTGGTACTGTCACTGGCCATGGAGCCAAGGCTGGCTAAGGAGGCAAAGGAAAGCTAGAGTGGCAGAGATTGCCTAGGAGAATAAAATAACTCAGTTAATGGTGGCAGGCTATGTCCACACAGTACTGAGGTATGTGCCTGGTAAATAATTGAAAAACTTGACTCAAACAATCACACCAAATAAGTCGGGCCTCCCGTGGATAATTTTTTGTTCTCACTTTTTTGATGTGGCTTTACAATCATCAAATCAACTTGATTTTATTTTGTAATCAACTTGATTGATTTTGTTTTTGTTTTTGTTTTTTTTGCTTTTTGGTGAGGCAATCAGGGTTAAGTGACTTGCCATGGGTCACACAGCTAATAAGTGTCAAGTGTCTGAGGCCGGATTTGAACCCAGGTCCTCCTGACTCCAAGGTCGGAGCTATAACCACTGTGCCACCTAGCTGCCCCATTTTTTTTTTTTGCTTTTTTTTTTGGTGAGGCAATCAGGGTTAAGTGACTTGCCCAGGGTCACACAGCTAGTAAATGTCACAACTTGATTGATTTTATAATGCATAGACACAGCCTAGAATTTAGTACCAGGTTACATTTCTAGGGTTAATTTGGGCTAGCTGGTGTCCACACCACAGCCATGGTTAGTGGTGAAACAGGGAGCAACACCCTTGATCAGCAGTGCAGCAAAGCTAGAGAAAGGTATTATGAGTATCAGAGGGGTGTTGAGGGTAGTAAAGAGAATTAGGGGCAGCTAGGTGGCACAGTGGATAGAGCACTGGCCCTGGAGTCAGGAGGACCTGAGTTCAAATCCAGCCTCAGACACATAACACTTACTAGCTGTGTGACCCTAGGCAAGTCACTTAACCCCATTGCCTAGCCATAAATAAATAAATAAATAAATAAATAAATAAATAAATAGATAAATAGATAAATAAATAAATGAATGAATGAATGAATGAAAAGATAAATAAATAAAAAGTAAAGAAAATTAAAAAGGGATAGCACTGTTGCTATTAGTAGCAATTCAAATATGGTGCCTCATGGGAGATTCTGTGGTTTATGGCTAGAGTTTCAGACCCAGGTAAGCTTTGACAGGGCACAGTAGCATTGTCCGGGATCCTTGGGACAGTTCCTTGCTAAGGACATTCCTCTGTTTCTCTCCTGGTACACAGTAACCTGTAGGAAGGTATCCAGGGGAGCAATGTGCTGTGTCTGCATTTTCTCTTCTCATAGGCATGCACCCTTAGAACCTCCCTGCTGACTGGGGGACAATGGAAGCAGATATCAGTCTTCTAGGACTGTTGTGTCTGTGATGACAAGGCCTTCCTGAAACAGCCTAGCCTATAGAACAACTATCCAAAACTGTACCTCGACATCCTTGGGCTATGTTTGAGAGCTCCACACATAACAGTTGGCAATCTCTGAGAACAGGAAAGATGCATTCCTGAGGTGGAAAATGATGCTGGGATCCTGATGAGGAAGCTTTAGAGGTAAACTGGGGCCATCATCCTAAATGGTACAGAGCTGCTCAGCAGACTTCACAGATCCTTCAAAACTTAAGAGGGTCAGAGCAAGCTGGAACAGCAACCCAAGGGGAATCAGTCCCCTTAACCTAGTCAAGAGTCCTCAGTCTCATCTGGAGCGTACATGCTCTACCAGAGTGTGGAGGCTTTGTGGCCCTCAAGGTAAGGGATCTAAGATCATCATCACCACCACATTTATATAGCACTTTTAGGTCTGCAAACGCTGTACGGTTATCTCATGTGATTCTCATAACAACCCTGGTAGGTAAGTACTATTATTATCCCCATTTTACAGATGAAGAAGCTGAGCCAAGCAGAAGTTAAGTAACTTGCCAAGGATTCATAGCTAGGAAGTGTCTGAGGCAAGATCTGAACTCGGATCTTCTTTGTTGCTAGTTCAGCACTCTGACTCATTGCCTCACCTAGCTGAGCTGCTTGGGATTCACCAAGGACAGCCTCACTCTCTTCAGCATTAGAGGACCCTTCCCACCATGACCCATTTGCTCTTTTGGGACAAGGCTGGCAGTCTGAGCAGAGTATATGACCTTTGGCGGACCCACTCAGTCTTCTGATTTCATATATGGCAAGAAGACAACTTGGCGAAGGTATGAATGTCAGAGGAAGAAGTTCTAAGTGGTACAAAAAAGCACACCCCAAAAGAGAATGAGGTCTTCTTCTATCCACATTCCTCTATTAACCCGATCCACATTTCCAAGTCCTGGAATTGACATTTCCACAGTATTGGTATTCTAAATATCAAGAACATTTTAACTAGAAGCCAGAAGCCTCCTAGATCAGAAATATCATGACATGCTAAAAACAGACAAAGGAATAAGATTTGAATACTGATGAGAAAAGTCACCACCTGAGGAATCAAAGCTGGACTAAACTGCAAAGGGAAATAAGTACATCAGATGACAAAGCAACAAAGGTGGTAAATGCTGGTGGGGCTATAGGAAGACAGGCACATTAAGGAACCGTTAGTGGAATTATGAAGCTGTCCAACTGCTCTCCACAATTTGGCTTTGGGAAAAGACACTAAGATACACATATCCTTTGACCCACGATAGGTATACATCCCAATGAGGGAACTGTGGTCCCCACCACACCAAGGGGAAAAAAGGTAGAGGGAAAGGCCCCACAGGCACAAAACTAATTTATAGCAGCACTTTTTTTTAATAGCAAAGAATTACAAAAGGGTGGGAGGGGGGTACAGGCAGTTGATTCCAGCAGACTGATGATATGGGCTACATCTCCCTCTTCTCAAAAGAAAGGTGGTAGACTACAGGTGTGAGGTGAGGCATGCACTGTCAGACAAGGCCAATGTGTTGCTGTGTTTTGTTTGACCTTAACTCTTACAAGGGCAGGTTGGGGGAGGGGAGTGATCAGGAAGTGACAACAATGTGGAAAAAAATACATCAATAAAACATGTATTTTTTTTTCTCCAAGGAGAGAAGAGGTCAGATCCTGGATTACATTGGGATTTTAAGAAACAAGAGCGTACTTCCATCAAATGCTGTCTTCATTGAAATGCCTCCTGTAAAGCAAGCAACTATATCTATGATGCATCTGATCAGAAAGAGGTCTAGAAATGTCACGGGCCTAACTCTGGTCAATCAGGTTCGTGCAAAGCATACAAATCTCTCACTGCATTTCTCCAGGGAACACATCTCCAGAGGAGAACATTGCCTCTCCCTTCATTCCAGCAATTCAATAAATGTTTGTTGTTAATGAGGACAATTACAGACGCCGGCACTGAAGCAATAAACCCATAATCTACCACCAGGTGAGCCTGGTACTGTGAGAATGTTCGAGTATAATTGAGAAATCAAGCAGCCTAAAAAATGTTCCAAAAGGCTAGCAGAGCAGCAGGGCAACCCCCTCTCCATGTTCGAGACACCAGCGCTGTTCTCGGAAGACTTCTTTCCTCCTAACTCCCCCTCCTCTTCTCCTCTAGGGGGATGGAGGACACTGCTTTGGCCAGTTTGGCTCAACTGTTTTTCTTTGTGATAAGGCAAGGATCTTTGGAAGGAAGGGGATATCAGGAAATATCTATGATGTCGAAAAAAGAAGGCATCCATAAAGCTTAAATTTTAAAAATAAGGTATGTCCTTCTCAATATTCAATTTCTCTATTATGCCTGATTAACAAATGAGCATTTATTACTATGCACCCAACACTGTGCTAAGACAAAAATCAAAATCTCTGCCACTAATGACATCATATTCTACTGGGGAAGATAACATCAGTACAGATAAATGAATGAAAAAAATGTATAAAACCAAAGTACAAATATTTCAAAGAGGAGACACCAACAATTGGGGGTGGGAGGAGGGGTAAGAGAGGCCTTGTGTAGAGCTAAGCTGAGCCTCAAAGGCAACTCAAGATTTCAAGAGGCACAGGTGAGAAGATAGAACATTCTAAGTACAGGAGAGACATTACGCACAGGCCTAGAGGATGCAGATGGAATGATATGAAATGAAGTCATCAGATATTAAGCTCAACATGATGAAAAATATTATCAACATATTGGAAGCAATTAGTTTTGTTGGGGAGATCTTTTAAAATGCATTCTAACCTGCCCAAGCTCTTCATTGAGGTCAGATGTATTCACCAGAGCACCTTCTTGTATTTCTTCATCATAAAAGTCTTTATCCCAAGCAATGAAAAAGGACCCCAAGAATTTCTGCATTTCCACAGTAACATACATGGAAACAGGGATAATGAAATTGAATAGGACCATAAATGACAAGAAGTCTGTGAATATTTTCAGAACCTGAAAGAAAAGAGATAAATCATGGTAACCAGAGGCAGGCTTCTCCTGTGGAGACATTAAGAACAGAAGGGAACATGAAAAATCTGGTCTTTATCTTTTTTTTTAATAATAGATTTTTGATAGTCTTGTTTTGACATCACCTAGAAAGAGTAATTATAGTTATCATAATTAAGAAGAATTTATTTATAATTGATGATAATTAATTACAGGACTTTAGGTATTCAAAGTGCCTTACATTCAGAGTCCCCATATTCTATCCCCACCCCCTCCCATCAATCTCTTATAACAAAGGTTTTTTTCTTTTCAAATAAGGAAAAAATTCAGCAAAACCAGTCAACATGTTGAATAAAATCTAACGTTCTAGGCAATATTCCACCTACTGACCCCCTCCCCCACCCCCTAACCTCTGCAAAGGTATGAGAAGGAGGGATAGTCTTATAAGCTTTGGTCTTTATTGCACAGAATTCCAACCTCTCTGAATTGGAAGGGTCCTCAGCAACCAGCTAGGACAATTCATAGCTGGACTCTCTCTACAAAATCCCCAATGCTCAGCCATCTCACCTCTGTTAGACAACCTCCTTGGGGGGAGTGGGGGGGTGCCCCCGCGAGATAGGAAGGACTCACTACCTATCAAGGCAGCTCATTCTGCCTGGGGATGGCTCGAATTGTTAGGAAGCTTTTCCAGATCTCACCTCCAATGCTGAGGAAATTGTGCTTGATATGGAAAAAAAAAAATCCTTCCCCAAGGACACTTCTTAATAAAAGGGTAAATCTTCAAGTACAGAACCAAAGGTAGATTTTAAGCATCTGTGAAAAGTCATCCTTAATTTTTTTAATGGAATACCTTGGTTTCTTCCAAAATACTTCTTTCTAGGGTTTTTTAAGAAGCAGTAGTGCTTTTTCTCCTCCTTAAATCTTAACCCTGTGCCCCTTAACCTCTAGGTGATATCCAGTAGTATCTGGCAGAAGGATGGAATGTTTTTAATCATCTCACAGAAGGGTAGCATGGTATACTGGATAGAGAGCTGGCCTTAGAGTTCAGAAGATCTGGGTTCAGATCCTGACACTTGGTAGCATGGCTTGACTCTGAGCCACCCTGTGCCTCAGTTTCCTCATCTGAAAAATGGGATTGAACTCAATGGGCTCTAAGGTGACTTCAAGCTCTAAAAAATATGATCCTTTGACCCTATATCAAAAGAAAGAACCAAAGGGTAGAGTTAGGAACAAGGGCTAGAATTTGCTGAGAAACCAATTTAGGCTTGACACTGAAAGAAACCTTCCTAATGATTAGAGTTGTCTCCCAGTGGAATGGACTGCCTCTGAGGTAGGGGGTCCCCCCATTACTTAAGGGCTTCAACAAGAAGATGAATGGCGACTTACGAGGGATGGACAAAATGACCACTGAGGGCCCTTCCCGCTTAGATATTTTGTGATTTGAGGAGGCTACAAATCAAAGATGTTGGAGTATCATAGCTACTTTCCAAATAGCTTGCAAGCAGGTCCTGATTGAAGAGTCAGGCCTAAGTATAAATGAAGTTATTGACTAAAAAAAAAAGGTTTAAAATTTTAAAGAAGAAGATACAACTAGGAAAACATCTGGAGTAATAATAATCAAGTCACTGTTTCCCTGACATTCACTGAATTATATCTCCAGGATTCAAAACATTAAACCAATTACCTTTACAGTCTCTCGGTCATGCTGAGTCCTTTGGTTGTACCAAGGCTCATCATTGTGGGAGACACTTTGCCACACATACTTCATTGTGGTGCAAATAGCAGCTTTGGACAAGAGGATGCACAAGTACACAATCAGGAAGCCATTGATAGATCTGAAAAAGAAAAGATGGGTAGATTTTTAAAAATTAGTTTGGTCATTTAGATATGGTTAAGGACTCATTGTTCATGACAACAGAAACCTAGGCAAATATATCTTGGACAAAGTATAGTATGGGACAGTGGACTTGGAATCAGATGAATTAGGTTCGGGGCCCAGGTCTATTCTCATGCAAGTCAGTCAACTGACCACAGCAGAGCCAGAACTAGCACTTTTGGCACATTGGGCAATCCATTGGGGGAGTGGGGATTCCCTGGGATATGAAGAGAAGATGAGGGGATATGAGGGAAGAGTAGGGCAGGATGGGCTACAGAGGAGCTCACCTGAAGACAGGAATGAAGAATGCCATCTGCTAGCTAGCTTCCCATTTGAGCCAATTATTCTGGCTGATCATTTCCCACAGGCTTCCCTCCCTCCCTCCCTCATCCTCCCCATCCCACCCCCTCGATTGGTGGTGCTTGCTCTGAGATTATATGCCATTTACACTTTATAAATCATGTGCATACATATGTAGTGCCTATTGTCTCCCCCACTAGAATGTAATTCTTATTTTTGCAACACAGCACTACACACAGTAAGCTTTTAAGAAATGTTTATGGACTTGACTTGCTAACTAGGTACTAAGCCCCATCTTTCTACACTGAAGAGGAAATACAAGTCCTGTCAGGGCCCTCAAAATTCCATTACCTGAGGCAAAGGTATAGTGACTCCAGCTCAGTTACTCTGATCATCTGAGCCCATGTTTCTTTTTTTGTAAAATAGGGATAGTAACTCTTGTTCTACCTATTTCACAGGGTCATTGTGAGGATCAAGCAAGTTATTTGTTTGTTTTTTGAGATTTTTGTAACTAAAAAGGCCTATAGATGTATCAAAGACCGTCATAATTATGGGCACGTAGGTGGTAGAGTAGGTAGAATGCTGAACTCAAGAAGTCCTGAGGTCAAAAGCTGCCTCAGATACTTCTTAGCTGTGTGATCCTGGGCAAGTCACTTGACTTTATTTGTGCATTAGTTTCCTCATCAGTAAAATGGGGATAATAACAGCACCTGTCTTATGAGGCTGTTGTGAGGGTCAAATGAGATAATGTGTGAAACATTTTGGAAACTTTAAAGTGTTATATAAATGCTTGCTATCACCATCATTGTCATCAGTATTGCTGAAATGGGCAAGGAGAAGACAAATTGGAGTTATTTGTCAGAGAACATCACCTCTTCCCCATGTGCATGAACTCACTAATATGAGATTACCCTCTTACAGCAAGGCTCTACTAGCCCTACTCAGAACCCTGGGATGAGAACTTGAATATAGGTATCTCCTGCACCCTTAAATCTCTAGTGAATCCCAACCCTTTACCTACCTAGAACCCTAAAAGCCCTAGAACATGAAGGTTCATGAAGAGGTGGCCTATAACCCTCACATATCAGGCCAATCTATTTCTGAGTAAGTGACCCCTAGGGTTCAGCAATTTGGGCTAGCTGGGGAAACAAAGCATGGGGTGGGAGTAACCAAGCTCATGATCAACCAGCATGTTCTGATCTGTCAAATGGAGACTTCAGTCAGTCTTCTACCAACTAACATAATCTACCCCCCCATCCCCTCCCAAACTACCAGCTCAATTTGCCACAGAATCCAAGTAAACAAAAGGTTATATACTCTTTGAAAAATTTCCCAAGGCTTTAACCAGAACCAAGCCCTGCACTGATTGGTGCAACCCAATTTCAGACGCATCCTTACTTTTCCACAGCGGAGCGCTTCTGAGATTTCCCTTGGTAATTCAAAGCCATTTTGCTTTCCATTCCTGTGTAAACAGCAACTCCTAAAGAGCAATAAAGTATAATTAAACTAGGTTTACAACTGACCAACTCCCCATCCCATGTGACCAATAAACCCTTTAAGCCCCATCCCTTTCTGATATTAATTAAAAAAACAAAAACAAAAACAAAAACTAGAATTCCAAACATTTCTCCACACAGGACTTGTTACACTAAGCTTAAGAAATGATGTTATGTGAAGTATAATTCATACAATTAATATGCCTAAAACATTTTCATTTTATTTATATTCTCTTTAAGCATGTCATACTACAAAAAATATAACACCTAGAAATAGGTTTCCATTAACGTTTATTATTATCTGCTATGCTTACTTAAAATTCAGTTACTATTCAGAGGCATTATAAAGTATATTTCTGATAAATAAATTCTTTAAAAGGTTCACCATAAATCTTCTTGGTATTTTTTAGAGTAGCTCCTTTCAGCAATAGATTTTCAGGTCCCAAAGACCTAAACAGAAAGTGAATATTGTTTACCCACAAAATCCAGTATCATCAGTAAATTTTCAGGGCACTTTTCCCCCTCCCTACAGCCCCTCTGACTAGGGGTTTCATATCCATCTGTCTGTGTATAGCATAAAAGTGAGCTCACGCCTCCAAAGAGTTCCAAGCCCCAATCTCCAGCAGGCACATGTGGGACCGGACAGACAGACACCCACAGAGAAAGTACAAAGAGAGGTAAAGGCTTAGACAAGGAGATACGGGAAGGGCAGAGACAGAGATAGAAAAGGGCCAAGCCTCAGAAAGGCAGAGAGACAAGGAAATGGAAAGAGAAAAATATAAGAGATACAAAAACAGACACTAGGAGAGAATATGAATCTTCTACACAAGACGAAACAGGCCTCAGCAGAGATCTGTGGGTATACTTCAGCTCCCTAACTCCCACCACATTCTTAAATCCTGTAGCTGCTTCCAGTCATCCAAAGTGGAGAGCTGAAGCCATCGTGAGCCTAACTGAAGGCATGAGGGAGACCCACGCTTTTTTGTCTATGGTTTTTTAATTTTTTCCTTTGGGAGGGTGGGGAGATATAAACATGTGGTTGTAAATGTGTGGTGAAGACCTAGTGTGGAAATTCTTTCCACCAACACAAAGCATCATTTATAGTCTTTGGGTCTTCCCAGGGCACACAGCTAGTAAATATCAAGGGTAAGACTTGAATCCAGGTATTCCTGGCTCCCAATCTCACCCTCTATGCTCTATGCCATACTACCTCTCTCTTTAAATTGTACATATGTTCTAAGGACCTTAATTACCCAGATAATTGTCTCAATCTTTTCACTTCACTTAAAATGCAGGTAATTTTCCAGTCCATCCATTGCCTCCCCTGGACCACAACTGTGCACCTACATTTCCCAAACCCCACTGATAACAATCACAATGCATCCTAGAGGAACAACTCACCACCACCACCATCACCACAGCACTACCACCATAACTTAGAGGGAGGCCAGGCAATCTGGGTCTAGTTACCCTGGCATTTCTTTCCAAAGGAAAAGTATTAGAAGATATTTACACAAGATGCACATAGTAACATCAAGAAGGAACCAGTGAATGGTAAAGGAACTAACCTGGCAATGGGTTCTGCATTATTACTATAGATATTGATCTTCCCAACAAACCTGGAAAAAGAACATAATAGAATGAGATTGTGTTCTTACATTCAATTGATATTGACCACCACCAGTATCAGCAGGAATCAAATCATGTAAAAAATGGACCTATACAGGCCCTCAGAATAAAGTAGAAAGCCTATTAGGTATATGTCACAAAGTGATGCTAAGAAAATGCTATGTTGTATGTCTATTCTAGTGATTTAGGAAGCTATTATGAATTATTAAAGAACATCAGAGCTGGAAAGACCTCAGGGACCATGAAATTAGTCCAACTCCATCAATGTACAAATGGGAAAACTGAGGCCCAGAAAGGAGAGTGCTCTAGGTCACCCAGTGTCAGGAGCTCGGGGCCTTGTAGAGCTGAGAAGAGAAGAAAGACAAAGATGTTATCCTTTTTATGGGAAAATTTCCTACATACTTCTGACCACTGTGAGGTAGTTACAAGAGGAAGCAAGTAACTGCAATTCAATGTAGAGAGAATCATAGAATGGGCACTGGTATTGACCATGGTACCCATGAAATATTAAAAGGTTTAGGTCAGTGGTATCAAGCTGAAATAGAAATGAGGCCACATGTGGCCTAAGGGCTGCAGGTTCCCCACCCCTGATCTACGCTCTACTATATTTTTATTTATATTGTTAAATATTACCCAATTACATTTTAATCTGGTTAAGAGGAGTGAATGGGGCCCTGGATGCTTGTATGACACCTGGATTAGATAAAACCTTCCATCATGTTGGGTGGATTCTCTGTGGAAGATTGACGGAAGGTTAGTGATAGTATGACTAGAAAGGATTAGAGATTCTAAGAAGGATAGGAGACCTTAAAAAAATGAAAATCTGACAAAACAACTGTAAATAATGCCAATGAGGGAGAAATAGGGAGATATCTAATGACAATGCTGTGATTCCATAGGCAGCTCTTGAGTGAGGTTCAATTTTTTGTCATCGTTGCCATTCAGTTGTTTCTGTCATGTCCAACTCTTTGTGACCCCTATTTGAGATTTTCTTGACAAAGATGTTGGAGTAGTTTGCCATTCTCTTCTCCAGCTCATTTTACAGATGAGGAAACTGAGGCAAACAGGGCTAAATGGCTTGCCCAGGGTCACACAGCTAGTACCTAAGTGTCTGAGGCCGGATTTGACCTCAAGTTTTCCTGAATTGAGGCCCAGAGTTCTATCCACTGCAGCACCACCTAGCTGCAAAGTTCATTTTTTACAGAATGTGTACAAAAGGTAGAAGCAATGACATATAACTAAGGACAAATACAAAAGGTTAGTGAATGGCAAGAAGAATGATAGAAATTAGTTGAGGCTAAAGAAAAATGTTAAAGACTATTAAGTCAACTTTTACAAAAGGGAGGAGATAGGCTCATTGCTCATAGATGGTGTGATATTGGCAAACAACAGTGAGTAAACAGAAATACTCAAGATTACTTCTATTTTTATTGTCAATGAAAATATTAAATAGAAAAGGATAGAGCAAACATGGGTAAAAAAAAAATGCACCCCAGGGGCAGCTAGGTAATGCAGCGGATAGAAAACTGGCCCTGGAGTCAGGAGGACCTGAGTTCAAATCCGGCCTCAGATACTTGACTCTTACTAGCTGTGTGACCCTGGGTAAGTCACTTAACCCCATTGCCTAGCCAAAAAAAATGCACCCCAAGATCGATAAGAGATACTTTAAATCAGGTGTCAAACCCATCCCTGCAAAACTCCCAGTCAAATTAAAATGTAATCAGGAGATATTTAACAAAATAAATTTTAAAAAATAGCATAAATAATGCTAATTTATGGTTTTCTAAGTCAATATGTACCCGATAGGGATCTGTTTCTATTTGAGTTTGAGAGCGTCGATTTAAACGAGTTCCCATCTCCTGACCCCCATCAATTATATCCCAGGGTCTTCAAAGAATTTCCATATGTGAAGCAGCATGTTACAGTGGATAAAGCACTGGACCTAGAGTCAGGAAGACCTGGGTTCAAATCTTGCCTCAGACACATACTAGCCATGTGAGCCTGGGCAAGTCATTTACCCTCTTTAGGCCTCAGTTTCCTCATCCATAAAATGAAAGGGTTGAACTCAATGACTTCTAAGATCCCTTCCAGCTCTAAATCTATATAATCTCATGAGCCTATGATCCCTGAATTACTGTGAGTAATCTTTAGGTGATAATGGAGATCAGGAAAAAACGGCCAATTGCCTGGGGCCAGGAAAACATCCTAAGTGTTCAACGAAGAGGGGGAAAAGATGCATTCCCAAAACTATAGCACCAGGAAAATTTTGAAAAGAATTATTTTAAAGAGAGAGTGAGAATAAGCAGAAAGAGAAGTGGGAGAGAGACTCTGCCCTGGATAGAAAGAAGGGCAGAGAGAGGAGAGGAAGACTGGATGGGACTTCTAAGGTCCCTTCCAATCCTAAGATTCTATCATTCTGAATGGGAAGCCTTATGCTCATGAGTTAAATAGACAGTCATGTTGGTAAATTTCAAAATAAAAGGACAATCTTAAGTAAGTTTCCCAGGACCATGATGTGTTTTGCCAGGCCAACGAAACAAAACTGATTTTTGAATCATTCTGGAACAGGTTCTACAAATACAATGGCAAGAGGACTGGCAGAAGGCTTTGCATTGCTATGGAATGCTTGCATGGAAGGAAACCAGACCACAGACAGTAGTAAAGGAAACTGGAGACTCCTTACTTGTACAGGTCAGGCTGAGGCTGTTCACACTCGATCGTGGCTTGGAGGGTATCAATGGAATGAGCCGTGTTAAACGAACTGGTGTCAGGGATAGCATGATGCGTCTGGGTGAAAGCAGAAGTGAAAACCCAAAAAAAAGAAAAAGAAAGAAAGAAAGAAAGAAAGAAAGAAAGAAAGAAAGAAAGAAA